GCCCCGCCCCTTGAACCGCCCCTGGAATAAAGACAGTGCCACAGGGGTTTATAGTGCACAACCCCACCTACCCAAAAAAGCCTTGTTCTAAACCCGTAATGACCATAATGTCATACAAAAATGTTAATGTTAAACAAATTTGGGACAAATTACTGTCTGCCTGTTTCAGACATATCTATATCTATATCCAAATCTATATCTATATATATATATATATCTACAGTATATGTCTGCCATGATCATCTTCATACTCAACTACATACGATTGTTATGTTTTTGCTGAAGTGTGACCTGATTATGTCTTATACGGCTAAAAAGTAACTAAGTATTTGTACTTTGTTACTTAAAACTTCTGCCTATGTCTGGAGCGGTGCTCTCTCCAAGAGTTTCTTGTGAAGCTCGTAAAACTTAACCAAAAATGGTTCTCTGTGGTTGTCAGCTCTTGATTCYTCTTCACTGTGATGTTTTGTATATTTAAGTCAATATAAGATGACATAACATTGTTCATATTGTTCTCCTGTGCTTGATAAAACATATTTTACTATACAGTGACAACAGTCATGGCTAAAAGCAATCATAAACAAACGTTAAATTTGGAATAATAAGAAGTGTTCTGAATAATAAAATTTAGACAACATATATATATATATATGTATATATATATATATATATATATATATTGTAAACGAGAAGGAAACAGTTCAGTAACACTTAAAGAAAAAAAGCTGTCTCTTCAAAATATTTTCATGCATGGTTCTTTAATTATCTTTATTTAGGAGCAGCTGAAGGTGATTTTCTTTAAAACTTGAGACTTCCAGGTAATAATGCTGCTGTGTGTGTAGAGTTATGTTGATGTGTTCAGGCTGCAAATAAAAGAGGTTCAAACCACTTCAGACATCAAACTMATTGAAAATGTTTCCAGTACACTGCCAGGTTGTTCACATTTGTATTTACTATGTGACTGCAGTGGGATTTTTCAGGACATATAGATGTATAGATGTTATATAGTAATTTTATGTCTGTTCATACATTTATTTTCTTGTTCCTGTTCTTTTGTTTCCACACAGTGACCTGCAACTTTCGGTCACCAATATGTCAGGCGCTGGTCCTGGAGATGGGGGAAACGGTACAGATTCTGGAGAAATGTGAAGGTAAAAAAACAACAAAATAAATAAATAAATAAATAAATATTAAAAAAGAAAATGAGAACACCTAAATATCTACAGGTTACATAAACTGGATTATGTGTCAAAATATTTGACTCACAATGTGACAAATTTAAATTCTTCTGCACACCAATGACTCAGTGATTGCTTTAAAGGTAAACTGTTGAGAAAAAAATCATTAAAATGTTTGCAATTCAACAACCAAACATCTGCTAAAAAGAAATTGCTTTTTTTCTTTTGCTCAGAACAAATCTAAGAAGATACAGAGGCAGAATATTCTGAACAGCAGTTAATTTTAGCTGTAATTTGTTTATTTCTTAGCACAWATCTCAGCATTATGTGCCAGATTTCATTAGCTGAGGTTCCAAGCAAGCAGGTATTTTATTGTGCACATTTCTGATTGGTCAGAGAGAACTATTCCCTGCTGGTATTTACACCAACAGGATACATCAACGAAGCCAAGCACAAGATTCACGACAAAAATATTTTTGAATTTACAGATTTGTTTTTTTTCTCGACCAGTATTGATTTCTGTAATACTTCGTATGAAGGCATACACAAGATGTTAAAGCTTCAGTGCAAAACCAACTTTATTCCCCTTTTACTCCTTTTTTGTCCCCCATCGCAGAGGCGGGGGACTTAGAAATGCTCTTTGTCCGTTACAATTTTAGTTTACAAAAAAGCTGTAACTTTTAAGAATAATAGAAAGGCTAAAATTCACCAAACTTGGTCATCCTTGCTTTAGAAATATCAAGTAAATTATTGTAAAAGAAAAAGTCTCAGCSAAGCTGGTGTCTCATGTCACTACAACTGCAAACATTTTAACTATATAAACATAATATATTGTATTTTACCCAGAACTTGTAAAAAAGTGTAGATACCAGAGATCTATAAAATACTGACAATAAATAACCAAGTAAATGACTTTGGTAAAACTGCTCACAATAATTGGGGTGGCTGGGAGTAAAAGTACTTACACACTTTAAGAAATGAGGTGTTGAATTTACTTAACTGAACTGGTTCCACTAAATCAAGTTGAGTAAATTGCTTTACATGTACTCTACTCAGTTTAGTGAAATCAGTTGACATAACTTGGTTAAGTAAATTCAACACCTCATTTTTAGAGTGCACAATCAACTCTTTTCATGATGAGTTTGGTCATATTTAAATTTGTAGCGTGTAACTACTAGGTGTTAATTTTTTATTATTGAGTATTTATTCATTTAATTTAAAAAACAAGCAAAACAAAACACATTACATACAACAAAGCGATGCAAATCAAATAAAATGAAAGGCAACAGAAGAAGAAAAAAAATCTTATGATATCTGCTCCTATTTACAACAAAAATATATTAATTTCAAACAATAATAAACCAAATAAAACAAAAATAAAAATTCAACRCCTCAAACAGTAARTRGTGCTRTAAATGGAGCATCAGTTGTAATTTGTTTTKTCCAAATTTAATGACAACTTATGATTAAACCAATTTTGTACTTTTACAAATTCTGTTTCCATCATTTCCAACATCTGTTCTATGTTCTTACCCAGGCAAAAAAGTACTGTCGTCTACAAATAAAACACATCTAAGCAACCCCAACACATTTACCAAGTCATTATATACAGTAGAAGAAACAACTTTGGTCTCAGTACAGAACCTTGTGGAACGCCACATAAAATATTACAAAGTTCAGATCTTACATCGTTAATTTGTACAAACTGTTTCCTATTAGTTAAATAACTTGCTACCCACTGTAGTACTGGACCTCTTATGCCATATTTGTTTTWAAAAAATTAAAGTAAAAAAGTAAAAGTACATTTTTTATGTTTTGAATGTAACAAAATAAAAGTAAAAGTTACAATAATAATAAAAAAGACTTGGTAAGTAAATGCACTTAGTAACTATACACCATTGTTAGAAACAGCCTTTCAGAAACACTAATTCCYTCAATTATGTGGCCTAGCTAACTGATCGCTAGCTGCTTACACTCTTATGTTTTTGGGAGGGTGAAATTTTCTCCTGGTTCCTCTTTTCACAGGTTGGTACAGAGGCTTTTCCACCAAGAAACCATCTGTTAAGGTAATTACCACCAAATGCTGTTGAGACCTACAATAATGTGCTCATATTTTGTTTTCTAACCCCAAAATCAAATTGCCAAAAACAAATTTGTTGTATTTATGTCTGTGTTTTACAAAAGTGTTTTTTTTTGAGATGCTCTAAAAATAAAACATGTGAAAATTTAAAGTCAACCTTAAAATTTATAAAGTAAATTTTCATCATCACCACATTTGCAAAACTTGCTTCCTTCAGTAAAGTGTGAACACAACCTGAAGCCTTTTTTTTCTCAAAGAGTTTGTTGTATTTTTGTGAATAAAATTGTGATGTGAGGGATGTGCAGCCCAGAAATAACTTCCTGTACAACAAAGACCTAATGACTGGTGAACTTTCAGAACAGAGCTTTGATTGAACAAAAATAGAAAGTATCTTGAACTAAATGTCTAAAGGTGATTGTATGAAAACCAGATGCTTTGATATCAGGATGGTTTTCTTTTCTAGATACAATAATGCTCTTGACACATTCTGCCTCTGGTTGATGCGTCCTCCATCTTTCAGATTTTAATTCACCAATGCCCTCTTTATCATAAAATTATAATTATCTGTCATCATTTGTTTCCATTTGAATTGTTTTCTGTTGCTTTTTCAGTCAACATAAAATAACTTGCTTATAAAGAAAAAAAAGCAACAAGTTAAAAAAAAGCAAGTTTGGATAAAAAAATAAAAGCCTTTGTCATCAGTAAGCAGAGATTAAAAACATTTTTAAATGACCAAAAGTATTTATTTTTTATTTAGTTTCAAACTTATTTTAAAATATGTTGTAACTTAAAAGGGACATGTGGCTCTATTTACTTGTGTCATTTTATTAAATGAAAAAATAAATTTAAAGATCCTGTAGGATCTGTTGTAGGCTGTTGTTGAGCAGACCAACTTGTTAGACATCATTATCAGGACTATTTTTAACTAAAGTATTGCACAATACGTATATAGATTCAGTAAGGTTTCCAACACATATCTGCTTTGGAAGAGCATGGAGCCCCATTAGAATTTATTTTTTTATTTTTTTTACGTTTTCTATATTTTCATACAAATATGTGCATCACATGTTGCTCTGTTCGTATTTAAATATTCTGCCACCTTGCAAATGGTGCACCTTTTATTTTGAAAACTGTGAAAACAATCTGTTCAGGAGAGAGTGAGAGGGAAAAAAAATCTCATTTCAGACATTTCTTTTATTTGCAGCAGCAACTTTAGCGTTGCCGTAATTTTGATGGGACAAAAAGGAAGTTCAGAGGCAAAGCAGAGTGAATTCTGATGTTTTCATGCCTGTTTATTGTAACTCGTCTTCACAAACACAACCATCACTGCTGACAGATGTCAATATTATGTCAGCGATCACACATCTTTTTTTACAACCCGTTTAAATGGATTTAGTCACATCCTATATGTTTGCACAGTATATAATACACCTACTCTGTATTGAAAATGTCAGCGGTTGGAGGGTTTTGTGATGCAGCAGGATTGTTTTAAAGAAAGCATTAAAGCTGTCAAGTCTTTGGTAAAATGTAGGTGTTCACAGCCACATGCTGTCCTCTACTCTCATCAGCTATTTACGGTTCTTACCAACACCCCTCCATTTTGTTATGTACTCTGCCCACATTCCTTCGCCCCCGTACTCTTTCAGCACCGGGAGAATCAGTCGTGCTCACTTTGGCCATTTCTTTGCATCTGGCACATTAGGATTAAAAAAGATGAACAGTGAGAGTGCAGCTGGTAGCGTTCAGCCTCTCAGGCCGTTAGCGCCACTGTCGGAGTCTCGCACTTCGCTCTGCCTCCTGTTTTTGAAAACAGCATTTTTTTATCCTCTGTGATTTTCTTATACAGAGAAAATATAGACACTCATAAAATATGAGGGAATTGTGACTTTGTGTTCTCCCAGCATATTTTTGTTGTGTGTTGTATTTTACATTTTGGGCATGTGGTGCAGGAGAATGAATGTAAAGCTGTCTTTCTGTCTCTGCTCTGTCCTCCGTCTGCAGGGGATTTTCCCAATCAGCTATATCCACTTGAAGAAGTCCACAGTGACAAACAGAGGGTAAGTTGTTTCAATTAAACACGTGCACTGACATAAGTGTAAATGCAGCGATAAAACCTCAACAGCAGGTCTTCAGTTTTAAATAGCTGATGCCTGCAACAATGTTTCATGCAGACTTATCTTCAGTTTATTATTATTTRTTACAAAAACCCCTCTCCAATGGTTGTGCACGAGGGCGGAGTGATCATGCTGTGGCTTCTGTAGCAGCAAGTGGCACAGAAAACATTTCATGGGTTCTACAGGGCGAGTCAAAAGTATCTGGACACCCTTTTATTTTTAGAAACAAAAGGAAGAATTGGGTAATGGGTGAGAGGTTCTGTCAGCACGGAAAGTTCAGAACTAGGTTTGTCTGTGTTCAGGAGGAACAGCACATTGAACACGTCAGAAAGTTGTGCACCGCACAGGCAACGTTCCCAGTCATTGTTGCAACATTCTGTGTTGATACACTTTGAACCACAAGAGAGATTCCAAATCCGACTGCAGCAATCGATTTCCGAGACAATTCTGCTCTATTTTGACATGCTACATGACCACCTTCCCACTGGAAAAACTTGATCCACTGTGGCAACTTTCAATATGGTGGCCATGTTCCGGCTGTAGCCTTAATGTTGGGGCCCCTCATCCATTATTTGCTGGGGTATTTAGGTATTTCATTTCCCCTTTCCTTTCTGAAACAAAGGGGTGTCCTGAGTCTTTTGACTCACCCTCACAATGTCTCACATTTTCACATTTCCTTTGACCCACTTGAAATGAAACAGAAGATGTTATCTATTTCAGGAGTTAGCSTTTAGCAAAAACTGGCTAAAAGTGCTGACAGCTCTGGGATGTTTTGCTGTTTCAACATTACACACTGAAAGTGAAGTTTTCATTCCCCTTGGTGTGGAGTGATTGCTTGATTGTGATTGTTTCATTTTTGTTGTAAAATATCTTGAAAATAGCTGCATCTTGACTGTTGAAACCAAATTTAGAGCTAATTAAAAAAACTWTATATTTTTTCTGAATAACTTTTTTTGAGTAGAAAAATGTGAAAGTTAGCCATTTTACAGAATGTCTTTTTGAGGAAGCATGCTAACATTCTCAGCATGCTAACAGCAGCATTGTCATATTCTGTCACTCAATATTTCACTTTATCATCCAATGACTTGATATTAAAGCATTTTCAGGCAAAACCATTGAATTGTTTGCAGTTGTGAACCACTTTTACGAACCACAGCTGATCTATTGTCTAAAAATCATTATTTTCTGCAGATATAAGTTGATATAATGATGAATGCTTTAAACAAGCGAAAACTTAGGTGTTAGTGTCAGGCTTTTTGAGTTTTTAGTAGGTGCAATGTGTAAGAAAACAGAAGCACACCTAAGATGTAATGGAAACAGTTTTTTTATTTTCTTTTGTGAAATTCTTTATTTTCAAATCTGAAAGACTCATGACATACTTAAGACCCTTGGCAAATACAGTGGGGTGTGAAAGTTTGGGCAGCAATTTCCTGATTTATCTTTATGAATCATTGATTGGATAAAAAAAATCAGTAAATCATATAGGGGACAAACACAGTGATATTTGAGAAGTGAAATGAAGTTTATATGATTTACAGAAAGTGTGCAATAATTGGTTAAACAAAATTAGGCAGGTGCATAAATTTGGGCACCAAAAAAACAAACCTTTAACTCAATATTTAGTAGATCCTCCTTTCACAGAAATAACAGCCTCTAAACACTTCCTATAGCTTTCYACGAGAGTCTGGACTGTGGCTGAAGGTATTTTGGACCACTCTTCTTTACAAAACATCTCTAGTTCATTCAGGTTTGATGGTTTCTGAGAATGGACAGCTCTCTTTAAGTGACACCACAGTTTTTCAATAATATTCAGGTCTGGGGACTGAGATGGACATTCCAGAACGTTGTACTTGTTCCTCTGCATGAATGCCTTAGTAGATTTTGAGCAGTGTTTAGGGTGGTTGTCTTGTTGGAAGATGCAGCCCCGGCTTCAGCAGCTTCAGCTTTGTCACTGATTCCTGGACATTGGTCTCCAGAATCTGCTGATATTGAGTGGAATCCATGAGTCCCTCAACTTTAACAAGATTCCCAGTCCCTGTACTGGCCACACAGCCCCACAGCATGATGGAACCACTCCCAAATTTCACTGTAGGTAGCAGGTGTTTTTCTTGGAGTGCTGTGTTCTTTTTCCTCCATGCATAACGGACCTTGTTCTGCCCAAATAACTCTATTTTAGTTTTATCAGTCCACAGCACCTTATTCCAAAATGAAGCTGGCTTGTCCAAATGTGCTTTAGCATACCTCAAGCAGCTCTGTTTGTGATGTGGGCAGAGAAAAGTCTTCCTCTGCATCACTCTCCRATACAGCATCTCCTTGTGTAAAGTGTGCTGAATAGTTGAACGATGCACAGTGACTCCATCAGCAGCAAGATGATGTTGTAGGTCTTTGGTGCTGGTCTGTGAGTTGACTCTGACTGTTCTCAACATCCTTCACTTCTGTTTATTGGAGATTTGTCTTGGTCTGCCACTTGGAGCCTTGACTTGAACTGTGCCTGTGGTCCTCCATTTTCTCACAATGTTTCTCACAGCGGAGACTGAAAGCTGAAATCTCTAAGACAGCTTTCTGTATCCTTCCTCTAAACCATGACGGTGAACAATCTTTGTTTTCAGCTCATTTGAAAGTTATTTTGAGACTCCCATGCTGCCACTCTTCAGAGAAGATACAAAGAGGAGAAAAACTTAAAATTGCCTCCCTTAAATGCCCTTTCTCATAGTTGGAGTCACCTGTGTATGGAGATCAAGGGTCATTGAATTTACCAAACCAAATTTAAGTTCCAATAATTAGTTCTAAAGGATTTGAAATAAATAAAATGACAACAGTGCCCAAATTTATGCACCTGCCTAATTTTGTTTAACCAATTATTGCACACTTTCTGTAAATCTTTTAAACTTCATTTCACTTCACAAATATCACTGTTTGTCCCCTATATGCTATATTTAACTGATTTTTTAATCCAAACAATCAATGATTTAAAAAGAAAAATCAGGAAAATTAACAAGGTTGCCCAAACTTTTGCACCCCACTGTAGAATGGTTGTACTGTGTCACAATTTTAAGTTACTGTTTACTTCATAAGCCATGCAAATAAAGAATTTTCCACYTAAAAAGATATTGCCTTTTGATAATAAATGAATTACAGTATTATTGCACAGATGTCCAGCTGCCACAACATTATACAGATCYTTACTGAGTTAGTATCTGTCAGACTGATCTGTGCGTGTGTGGGTATGGGAAAGCTGGAATTTTTTCATTGAGCYGTTAATAATGTTCCAACTTCTAGAAATATATGTTTTATCTGACTTAGAGAATAAAGCTGAATGAAGCTTTAAGCTGCTTGGGTTGTTCGTGATGTTAAAATGATCCCTTTATTATCACTGGTTATAAGCAAAATCTTCAACTACTATGTTCAGAAAAAAATGGATTCAGAGGGTTCAGAGAAGAATTTAGGCTTTTTTGAAGCATTTCATTCTACAAGAAAATACTTTGCATTAATTTTTACTTTYGCTTTTTAAAATGATGAATTATATTTGTAGGTATTTGGATTCATCTGGCACACCATTACAAATGCTGTTATTTGAAGCCATGAATTTTAAAAAGTAAAGAAACAATTAACACACACACACACACACACACACACACACACACACACACACACA